ATCGGCCCCGTAACGGCGGCTTAATTGATCGCATCTTCTCATCACGCGATACGTAGCCTTTGCGAAGTTTTCTCTTGTTCTGTCGCGCTTTGGCATTATCGGGCGATGGGCTGAATGTAAGCTTAGTTGTTCCTTGTTCCTTGCTTGTTATCGCTACAGCAAAACTTTATATTGTCAGTGGCTGGCTCCATTCTCTGATGCTGGTATTTAGGATATATAGTTAGGAACTGGATTACTTTCCAGCTACAGTATTAACTAGAGTGAGTCTCCTCGACCTTTATTGGAACAGAATGAAGGGGGTGTATAGTGGTATAGTGGTGATGGTTGGGTTGGGGTGGTGTCGGATAACGCTGTCTCTGTTGGTTCAGTACGCAAGCGTTCTGCCTGGGTGGCAAATTCTGTCGTAACACTGCTGCCTGGCAGGCAGCAGTTTTACAAAAGTATTTAAATGCCGGATTGTTGACGTTAGGAAAAGAGCGAAAACCCTTTTTAAACAATAACAATAGAATCAATGACAGCTAACTGCCTCACATAACGTGACAGGTGGAGACACCCATTACCTGAATCCAAAGTTATGTTTTCTATGTTTGTTTTCGAATTTTCCCGTTCCGTTGGACCTTTCAGCGGGATGGTACAACGGAAGCTTGCCGGTTGGCTGGCTGACAGCTTTATGGCTGACAATACAAAAAGTGGTGTCCAGATGACCATCGTCCAATCAGGGCGATATTCTAGCCAAGCACGAACTAAGAAGATAAGCCACCTGCGAGTGCTTCCCCCAGAAATAACTGAAAATATAATCGCGGCAACTCAACACCGATACTGGTATTTGGGATTTTCTCCGGGTGACCAATTGAAAGCTAGAAAGCGTCTAAAAATTATTCGCAGGCGCCTGTGGTTGGCTCTGGTGATTGAATCCAACCACTCCCTACTTACGGTTGACTAGTGAGAACTCCTCGCCCCGGTAGTTGCAGTTTCTCACTGGTGAAGACCCCGTCTGGAGGCAGGTATACTCCTATCTTCATGCTCACATACCTATACGCCCGAACTGGCTTATCACAGTCGCCGAGAGGTTATGGCCCAGCCCATCACCCTATTACATTCGGGGAGAATAAGCCAGCCTATCATAATGAGAGGTACAGTATGAGCTGGCCAATCACAGTCATGGAGGGAGGGAATAGGGAATAGGCTGGCTTATCCTAGTGGGAAATTGGTTGGCCCATCATAGTCATGGAAGGGAATAGGCTGGCCTATTACAGTCTCCAGGTGGGAATCCGCCTTGAGTTCGACCAGTCTATTGCAGGAGAGTTGGTGTAGGAGCAGCCTTCGGTTCGACCAGCCGAGAGGACCAGTATATTGCAGGGAAGCCGGTGACCAGCCTCGAGTTCGACCAGCCTAGAGACTCCAGAGGGGGTGGGGATCAGCTGGTCTACTGACTGGTGAAAATGACCCCTGCACCTACCGCACCTACCGCCACGTGAAAGTGCCCTCCCTACACTTTACTTACCGACTGGTGAAAATGACACCTGTACTCTACTGCAACTACTGACTGGTGAAAGTTAACCCCTGTACTTCACCTGCACTAGCCTCCTTCCTCTGCAGTGCACCTAACGCTCTGTATGCCAAGTTTGCAATAACAGCCAGTAGTGACAGGCAGGCCCGCATGATCACTTGTACATTCGGTACGATATACTTATACAAAAGCTTTTCCCGTCGAATTTACCTCCCGTAAGTTCAACCCTGCTGGGGGATCCGTCGCCTTCATACGAGAGCGTATAAAAATAGGGGGTGTGCTTTCATACGACAGCGTATGCCTTCATACGAGAGCGTATGGAAATAGGGGTGTGCCTTCGGGTTGAGCTGGGCACATCAGTTGAGCTGGGCACAACGCCCACTCCCGTTCCAGGCTGGTTGAACCACCCCCCATTTCCATACGCTGTCGTATGAAGGCACACCCTATTCCCATACGTCCTCGTATGAATGTATGCATGCCCCTCTAAGTTAGGTGCAACCTCGTTGTGAGGGTTTGGACGATTTATTCAATCTATCGAGACGATCTTGGTACAAAGAGGAAGAATTGAAGAAGTAAGAAATACACAGTCAGCGAGGTTCAGCGAGCCCCGCTTCCGTCTCTGGAACGAAAAAGCACGGGGAGAGGATGACAGAGCGTCTAACCAGTTAGCTACCCATCAGATTAGGCCAGAAGCTACTGAGCAATGCACAGAGGAATTTACAGGCCAACAATTGGCGATATTGCAATTCAACTCTAGAATTCTGAAACAAGCACAGTATAAACAGCTGGATGATCACGTCTTCGCGGCGGCCTTCGCGGCGGTCTTCTTCTGCTGCCGTCCTCGACATTTCTTTTCACGGCGCTCCGTCTGTCTTTTTCTCCTCTTCGCGACTTGGTGCGATGTCCTGAGACTTACCCCGTGCACTTGCTCGACATGGTTTCGGAAATGATCCACATGGACAAACTTCTCCTGTCTGCATTTTGGGTGGCCACACCAGATTGCCTCGCCACATTGCGCAGCAGTCTCTCGGCGAGCTAAGTGCGCGTCGTCAAAGTGGTCGTTGAGCACCGGCGGACGGCACCACTTGAACTTTCGCGCTTCGACCGACAGCTGCTCATCACCAATACAGTCTGGGCACTGTGTTGCCTCCATAAGAAGCGGGAAAGGATCCGGCTCAAGATCCGGCTCAGACAATGTGACGCTTCCAGGTGACTGTTGCTTGATGAAAGCCTCGACCGTGGCTGGGCGCTGCGTGCGGCTTGTTCTGCCAGTTTCCTTCTTATCGCATAAAGCCACCATCAAGTCGATGGCCTCAACTCTGCGTTGGAACAGCTCCGTTTCCGTCCAGTCGTCAGCTTGCAGACACATAATGTTGGCTAGTCTTGCCCGTTCCGGTATGACGAGGTCCATTGCGGGCTGCTCATATTCCTCTTCCATCTCCCCGCGGGCTTGGGCCTCAATGTCCCAGGTGGGACGATTGTAGAAATAGTATTCGCGATATTCTTTCACGACCCTCCTTTCGTTCTGTGTCCTCTTATTTCTGATGTCGTCTGTGAGTACTCGGATCCTGTCTTCATGCTCACTACCAGCAACTCGATACCGTCCCTGCTTGAGCACCGCACGCTCCTCCTCCCACTTCACAATCTCAGGGTCGGGCAGCTGATTTGCCCATACCTTCTCAGGCACCATATCCCTTACGGCACGAGGGTCGCGGGTCAAGCTTACGTGGGCAAACATGCGGAACAGTTGGCTTTGCTTTTCCTCCTCCAAGAAGGCGTTCTGGAGATCAAAGTTGGCAATTTCATTCAGATACGCACTGAAAAATGTTTTGAACCCAGGTTCATGCCGCATCATCTGGTCGCGGACCGAATCCGTTGCATCACCTAGTAAGATGATTTAGCATCAAAGATTTTGGTGGCA